TTAACTCGGTCAAATCTCATCCGATTTTCACGAAGTTTGGCTTTTTCTTCATGGTTTTCCTCCTAGATTCATCTGGCATTCAAATCTCGACACCGATTTTTCAGTCGAAATTCATGTCCAAATCTTACCCCAATTTTCGTATATAGACATGGGTCAAAAATGACCACCCCCATAACTCGGTCAAATCTCATCCGATTTTCACGAAGTTTGGCTTTTTCTTCATAGTTTTCTCACTAGATTAATGTGGCATTCAAATCTTGACACCGATTTTTTAGTCGAAATTCATGTCCAAATCTTACCCCAAGATTCGTATATAGACATGGGTCAAAAATGACCACACCTATATCTCGGTCAAATCTCATCCGATTCTCACGAGGTTTGGCTTTTTCTTTATGGTTTTCCCTTTAGATTAATCTGGCATTCAAATCTCGACACCGATTTTTTAGTCGAAATTCATGTCCAAATCTTACCCCAAGATTCGTATCTAGACATGGGTCAAAAATTACCACCCCCATAACTCGGTCAAATCTCATCCGATTTTCACGAAGTTTGGATTTTTCTTCATAGTTTTCCCTCTAGATTAATGTGGCATTCAAATCTCGACACCGATTTTTTAGTCGAAATTCATGTCCAAATTTTACCCCAAAGATTCGTATATGGACATGGGTCAAAAATTACCACCCCCTTAACTCGGTCAAATCTCATCCGATTTTCACGAAGTTTGGCTTTTTCTTCATGGTTTTCCTCCTAGATTCATCTGACATTCAAATCTGAACATCGATTTTTTTGTCGAAATTCATGTCCAAATCTTACCCCAAGATTCGTATATTGACATGGGTCAAAAATTAATACCTCCATAACTCGGTCAAATCACATCCGATTTTCACGAAGTTTTGCTTTTTCTTCATGGTTTTCCCTCTAGATTAATGTGGCATTCAAATCTCGACACCGATTTTTTAGTCGAAATTCATGTCCAAATCTTACCCCAAGATTCGTATATAGACATGGGTCAAAAATTACCACCCCCATATCCTCGCCAAATCTCATCCGATTTTCACGAAGTTTGGCTTTTTCTTCATGGTTTTCCCAATAGATTAATGTGGCATTCAAATCTCGACACCGATATTTTAGTCGAAATTCATGTCCAAATCTTACCCCAAGATTCGTACATAGACATGGGTCAAAAATGACCACACCTATATCTCGGTCAAATCTCATCCGATTTTCACGAAGTTTGGCTTTTTGTTCATGATTTTCCCTCTAGATTAATGTGGCATTCAAATCTCGACACCGATTTTTTAGTCGAAATTCATGTCCAAATCTTACCCCAAGATTCGTACATAGACATGGGTCAAAATTTACCACCCCAATATCTCGGGCAAATCTCATCCGATTTTCACGAGGTTTGGCTTTTTCTTCATGGTTTTCCCAATAGATTAATGTGGCATTCAAATCTCGACACCGATATTTTAGTCGAAATTCATGTCCAAATCTTACCCCAAGATTCGTATATAGACATGGGTCAAAAATGACCACACCTATATCTCGGTCAAATCTCATCCGATTTTCACGAAGTTTGGCTTTTTGTTCATGATTTTCCCTCTAGATTAATCTGGCATTCAAATCTCGACACCGATTTTTTAGTCGAAATTCATGTCCAAATCTTACCCCAAGATTCGTATATAGACATGGGTCAAAATTACCACCCCCATAACTAGGTCAAATCTCATCCGATTTTCACGAAGTTTGGCTTTTTCTTCATGGGTTTCCCACTAGATTAGTGTGGCATTCAAATCTCGACACCGATTTTTTAGTCGAAATTCATGTCCAAATCTTACTCCAAGATTCGTATATAGACATGGGTCAAAATTACCACCCCCATAACTAGGTCAAATCTCATCCGATTTTCACGAAGTTTGGCTTTTTCTGCATGGTTTTCCCACTAGATTAGTGTGGCATTCAAATCTCGACACCGATTTTTTAGTCGAAATTCATGTCCAAATCTTACCCCAAGATTCGTATATAGACATGGGTCAAAATTACCACCCCCATAACTAGGTCAAATCTCATCCGATTTTCACGAAGTTTGGCTTTTTCTTCATGGGTTTCCCACTAGATTATTGTGGCATTCAAATCTCGACACCGATTTTTTAGTCGAAATGACATTGGTCAAAATTTACCACCCCCATAACTAGGTGAAATCTCATCCGATTTTCACGAAGTTTGGCTTTTTATACCCTGAACCCATTAAAAATGGGTATAAGGGTATATTGTATTTGTGCGAAAGCCAAATGTATGTAACAGGTAGAAGGAAGCAACTCCGACCGCATAAAGTATATATATTCTTGAACAGCATAAATAGCTGAGTCGATCTAGCCATGTCCGTCTGTCTGTCCGTCCGTCCGTCCGTATGTATGAACGCAAGGATCTCAGAACCTATAAGAACTAGAGACTTGAAATTTTAGATGTAGATGCTCCTAGTTCCCACGCGGATCGGGTTTACTCCGTTACTCCGTTTCCAAGCAATCGATAAAAATCGATATCGATATCCTGTTTTTTGGGAAATTTTGGTAAATAATAGGAACTAGAGTCACCAAACTTGACATATAGCTTCTAATATAGAATATATATATATGCATTTGATGATGGAAGAAGAGGGTTCAGGGTATCCACTAGTCGGGAGCTGCCGACTAGAACCTCTTACTTGTTAATATGTAATTCAATCAAATTTGTAAAATATAAAATAATCGAAATAGCAAACCCTTCTGGAAACAGTCGGGCACAAATAAGTCTGTCACTTAACTATAAAATTGACACAACAAAATATATGTATATGCCTTGCAGTTTGATCAAGGGGTGTTAATATAGCGTATGCATATGCATAAAACATGCTACTATACATGCTACATTTACAGTGAGGAAATCAGGTTAATGCCTCGTCGGGCAGTTAAAACCGTAGCCGGATGATTTTCTGGCCCAGCGACTAAACGTGTGAATTTTATGAGCTGGCTGATATTTTAAGAGGCTTTCAATTTAATGGGCCAATGCGATGCGTTAAGAACACCAGACCAGGTGAAATAAATTGCAGAATTTCAGAAATGCATGCAAAAAAGATTGTACACAGCGCTACAGAGATGCTGGCTGAGAAGACTCGGCTTTATTTATTGTTCGATGCTTTATGACAATATCCTTTGTGCGGCATTTTCCGGTTTTGCCTACAGTCGCACCAGGTGTCGACGACTGCATGCGTCAATTACTTAATTTTAATGGCTTTTATTATGCACTCGCACACACGAGAAAGTCTAAAAGGCCAACTCACACACACACACACACACGCGCCCATAAACAACGCCCGCCTTGTGGGCCATTAAAAATAAATAAAAGCCAATGAAGCCAAGTTGGAAAAGCCACTGGCCATGGAACTACTTGTTCAGGTGCAGGGGACAAGGAACAAGAACAATTTGGCAAGAAAACCTGAAGCAAACGCAACGAGAAAGTAAGGATAAGGACAAAATGCAGAGTTTGGTCAAAATAACTTGATAAGCAAATCAGTATTCCATATAGAAATATACTTTCCGATCGATCGACTTTTTGGCAGCTATATGTTATAGTGGTCCGATACATATTTAGGGAGCATGGTTAAGCTTTTAAATGCCAAATTTGTTCAAGACATCTTGAAAAACAAAAAAGAATTGAATTTTCGGCGGATCGTTCCTATGTCAACTATATGATATAGTTGTTTGATATTAATAAAATTTGGTATATATAGAAGAAGCATAGTGAAGCTAACAAATGCTGATCAAGATATCTTGATTAACAAAATAGTTTCCCATACAAGAACTTAGAATATATTTGCCCGATCCGGCTGGTTCTGACATACACAGACGGACATATAAAAAGTTTCCTCTTCATAATTCCTTCTACAAGAGTTTTAAAATAAATGCACCAAACAAAATTAAGAAACTCTAAAAACTAAATAATTATTCCTTCTAAACAGCTCGTACTCTTGTTTTTTTTTTTGTCAACTCAACTCACGACCAATTTCAATTCAATTTCGACACCGAAGTAAAACAGAGTATACGGTGCATAATAAAAGGAAAATCTTAATATTGATAAATATAGATCAAAGAGATATGGTTTAGATATGACTTAGAATAACGCCATAAAATATTAAATAAGTATTAAGCCTAAAAATAAAATAAAATTTATATAAAATATATTAAATGAATAAAAATGAATGAAACATAAATAAAAATTATTTCAAAAATTCATAAGAATATTAAAGTTGATAAATATTTAGATAATCGCTTTATATAAAACTATTTGTTCTGATATCCACCGCTCTTGGATGGAAAATGCCATGAAAAGGCTAAATGAATTATTGTAATTTTTTTCTAATGGAACATTTCGATATCGTGCAATTTTGTGACCAATGCATTTTTGCTATTTTTTTTATATATTTTTAAGTTTAATTTATTTGCACTGAAAAATTTGACTTCTGAATAATTTAAAATGGCAATGTCCAAAAATTTTGTAAGCCTCTGAAAAACCTAATTACTTTTTTGCAAAGTTAATTTCTGCTATTTTTTAAACAATTTTAGTATATAAAATTAATTAATAGCTTGTTTTACAAAATTGAAAAATTTATAATACTTAAATATATATTTATAATTAATTTAAAATTAATATTTGATAATAATCTAGTCAAAGAAAATATTTATTAGTTTTGATTAATTGATATTAACTATGCATATACTTTATTATTTATTCGTTGTATGTTTAATAAGCTAGTTTAATTAATCAATCACTTAGAATAAATGTGCATAGTTCAATAGAACAATATTTTAAGACAGATTTAAGCCATGCAACAGGTGGCAGTAGGCCCTATCTGACTGAAGCCAATCAGAATTGCTAATTGACGCATTGTAAGAAGAAAATTAAAATAAAATAGCTTTATATATATAATGTGTCTATTTATATATATATATATATAAACTCACCTGCATAGCTAAACAGAAAATCCACGCCAAATGGGGCTGGCGATTTGGTTACTTGGATGGTATTTGGTGCGAGTCCGAGTTTGAGTGGCTTTATATCTATCCACTTGTTGCTAACTGCCGACTGCCAACTGCGCGTGTGTTGTAGTTGTATAGATTTTGTTTATGACGCCCCAACAACAAATAAACAAAACGCAGGTGTCGTGTGGGGCTTTTCTGTTGTTGTTGCCAGTGTTGCTGTTGTTGTTGCCAGTGTTGCTGTTGTTGTTGCCAGTGTTGCTGTTGTTGTTGGTAAATTATTACAGCGCGACGAAGACGCAGAATAGGAAAAAACACACTCACACACACAGACACAAACGAACGCTCACATATATAGACACAACTACAGGCACACTTTCAATTACGCACTAACCGTAACAATTGTATAAACTTCATGTAAAAACTTAAGCTTGGATTGCACTTGGAATTTGTTTATGAAATTGAATGGTTATTGTTGTTGTTTTCGCTAGCAGCAGCAACAAAAACAAACAGCTGCACACTCTTGCTGTTTGGCGGTATGGTGAGTATGCGCATCCCGAAAACCAAGCTCATGATTCATATTTCATAGCATTCACACGATTGCTAGTAAGAAATTTAACATTTAAAACGCAATTTAACACCTTAAAAACCCAAATTCAATGGTAAGCGACAGCACAAAATATATTAATAACAATAAAAAGTACAGCGTTTAATAACACTAGCTTAACACTTGCTAGCACTGCTTGCGTTCACAACTGTTGCGCACAGCTGAGTGGAGCTACGTACATAGCTGTGCACACTGGCAGACATCGCCACCACGCAAATACCGATAGCTATTTTGATATTCATTTGACAAAAAGGTGAAAATAAATTCTTATGGTAATTAAACACCATTAAGCCACATGTTAAATGCAAAATATATATATGCATTGGACAAAAAGAAACGATTACAAACTGCTCGTTCATAAAAAATAGTTTTGAATAATATTTACTTTGATTTCACAACTTTTAAGCAGCTGTTCTTTTTACAACGCTTTGCAACACTAATTCACATGGTGTGCGGAATTTAGTTGCCTTTTGCGGCTTTTATTTGCCTGGAACTGGAATACAATTGCTGCCCCTTGCATTTAAGATGAGCGAGTTTCAAACATGGCTCAACGATCAACTCCGGCTGCTCAACACAGATGAAAGTGTATTTGGTGCGTACATAATTGGCATTCTGGAGGGCGAGGAGGAAACGCAAGATGAAAAAATAGAAGCACTTGAAGGCATACTCAGCGGAACAGGCGTAAGCTTAGCCCTCTTTTTCAGTAATAAGCCCATTTATATATAGAACAGCTAACTCTTGCAGGCTTCCAACATTGAGGAACTGGTGGCAAGCATATTGCAGAAGTGGCTGCAGAGCCATCCCAGTGCCGATGAGCCGCCCAAAAAAGGTCTGGACATTGATGTGAATGCACAACTAGCCAAGCTGCTGGAACAACAGAAGCTGCAACCTGCCGCCAAAGAGCGTGAATACACCGAGGAGGAGCTGCGCATTAAGCAACAGATACTGGCGCAATATTCACAGGTTTGATTACGTTGAAAAACTAAAGAGAGCAACTCGAATTAATTGTTATGTCTGTTGCCATCATTAGACTGCCGTCAGCGAGGAGGAGAACGAGGATACTGATGGCGAAAGCGCTGAACCCAGCGGATCGGGCGTCGTGGCGCCGAATACCAACAAGTCGGACGTGGCCAATCTGGCCAAGGAGAAGCGCGAGCAGGCGCGCCTAGAAAGTGCGGCCAAAAAACAAAAGGACAAAGAAGATCGCGAAAAGCAAAAACAGCTGCGCGAGGAAAAGAAAGAGAAACGCAAAACCGTCAAAGGGGAACGTCGCCGGTAACCGGACTAAATCTCGCCTGACACTTCAAGCACCCTCAGCACAGATCAGTGCAAATTTTTGATGTCTCCCAGAGACATTAAAACGAAAACAAAAACAAAACCTCTACGAATTCAGTCAAAATAATACTAATATATAATACTTTGTATTGCAATCGAACTACCAAAGTATCAAATTGTAATTATTATATCAATGTATTTTGTTGCGAATTGAGTTGATATTTCAAATTGTTTTTACTAAATTCAATTTAAATAGCAATCGCATTTTTAATTCAATGTCTAATGCTAACTTTACTTTCTAAATAACTTCTAGGAATTATGTTTAGAACCCATTTCATTTATAATTAATAGTAGTTAATAGTGTTTCAATTTATGAATCATCCTCCTCGTTTTCATCCTGGTCTTTGTCAGAGCCCGGCTCCGGATCACCTGTGCCATCATTATTGTCACTCGCATCATTGTCCGCGGCGCTTTGACATTGTTCATTTTCCGCCTGTAGCTCTGCAGATAGATTTTTAATAGCCTCTATATCATCTAACTCTATTCGCCTATTGTTAGGATCCAAGCAATTGACTTTGACATCTATGAAATCACGAATGTGTTGCTCATCCCAGCTTGAATACTGAAAGAGAAGATTTAATACAAATGATATATTTCCAAACAATTTCTATAGAAAACAGTTTTTATATTAGTTTGATTTGTTACGACTTTGTAGATACGCATATTAAGAGAATATTGAAATGTCAAGGCTAGCTCGAAAAATTATGTTAAAGCCGATTCTTCCTATACGTTTGAAATTGTATAGTAAAATTAATAAATGCCAAATTTTGTCAATTATTAACCTTGTAGAAAATTATTCATTCATCTACAGGATACACATCCCCTATAACAGTTTATACCCAATTCATTCTGTACAGGAATTCAGTTCTATCTAAATATATACTGTAGAATCTCCCCTCCTGACGATTAGTACCTTGTAATTGTACAATTTATATAGAAGGGGAATTTCAATTTAAATATGTCTCACCACGGAGCTGGAAGTAAAGAGCAGCTGTTGCTCCTGCGGCTTGGCCGCATCCTGTGACGTTTTGACGCGCAAATATTTCTGCAATAGATTCGTTTGCTCATCCTTGCGCCAAAGGCACAGTCGACTGTTCTGCAGCCAATCCTTGTCCATTAGATCCCGCTTATTAAGCAACAAATCCAGTTGGGTCAATTTAACGAACTGCTTCTTGGGCGGCAGACTCTGCATTCGTTTGGACGTGGAAGTGCTTGCCGCGCCGGGATTATCGAAATCGTCATCGCTTGGATCCGTGTCCAGCTCATCGTCATCCTCATCGACGGACTCAAAGTCCTCATCGCTTACCTTAGGCACAGTGGCACGTCTCTTGGTTTTGGATGCAGCCGATGAGGCAGCCTTGCGCTTGCGTCCTACGCCGCCAGCATCGCCGCCGCCGCTGCTGCTGTTGCCATTGGCACGTGACTGTTTCTGTTGGCGCTTCTTGTTGGGCCGCCAGTCCTCCTCGGAGTCATCGTCGTCGGGACTGTAATCCTCCTCGTCGGAGTCCAAATCAAACGTGGTGGTCACCAGTTCGGTGCGACTACGCATTTTACACCTGAAACTGCCAGAAAGTCTCTATCCTGTATTTTCTCTAGCGCTGACCGCGGCTGCTGCGTCGCAAAGCTGACTGAAAATTGTTGTTGTTGAGACTCCATACAAATCGCTCGGGAAAATTGCAATACATCTTCTCAGAAGCGTGCATGTTGGGGGTTGTTTTGCTTGGTCTCCGGACTCTCAGCTTCTTTCCAAAAGCTTTCTGTGCCTGAAAGCTTGCGGCAGCGTTGCATTCGTCAGGATTTTCAGGGATTTTCTGCACATTGAGCTTTTATTACTTTCATTTGTAAGCTGAACTTCGAATTAAAATGCAGCATCAAAAAAGCTTTCAAAAGAAAACTTAAAGCCGTAAAGGTTAATTAAAGTGAACCTGAAATTAAGCGCCAACAAAAACTGATTGCTTGAAAGATATTCCGTAAAAACTTTATACATTCTGTGCCATATTAATAAGGTTTTGCCCATATAATATTTTCGCCAAAATAAGCTATATCCATGATTATCAGGAGTATTTTGGCAGAAATTTGTAGGCCCTCTACAAGGGACACAAACATATGCGACAAGTATAAAACATATTTTAAGAAAATTGTAATTGCATTGGAATAACCTATTAGATGAAGTACTCTTCAATGGCTACCTGGCATTTCTCAGTACTTGTATTCAAATATCACAAAAGCGTCTATAAAATTGTCTAACAATATTGAAACTTTTGCATTAGTCAGCATATTCGAACTTCATCAGTTTTTCTCATGATCTCGCTGTGTTTGCCTTTGTGAGATTTGTCCAGTTCCAGAAGACGCCGTCGAAAGTCACGCATTCGCTTTACGCTCAGATCAGGTGGCGTCTGTGGACGCGAGTTCGTGGTGTTACTTTTTTGCGCGGCAGGGTTATTGTCATTCTGAAGATCCCGACGACGCTGACGCAGCTCACGCATGCGCTGAGCACTTGATTTGGGCGGAGTTCTTGTCTCGCTTGATTTGTTTTCGGTCTGGACAGGCTTCTGGACATTTTCCGGTTGCAGCAGACGCGAATGGGGCTCACGGCTCCTTTGGCTACTTGTTTTAAAGGCGCGCAGCTTGATAGGCTGCTCCAAATTCATAAGACGCTGACGCAGATCCTGCATGCGCTGTCTATTCGGCGGATGAGTTGCACTGTCGGCTTTCCTGCGGCGTTGTCGCATTTCCCGCATGCGCTGTGCGCTGGATTTAGGTGGAGCTAACGAACGTGGATCAGCAGCTGATCTGTTGTTGGGTTTAACGGCCATGTCGAGTTTCAGCAGACGTTGATGGAGCTCACGCACAATAATGCGGCGATTATTTGATTTGGTTACGGCAGGCAATCGATGTGAGGCTCGTGCCCGCTGCGAGTCGGACTCGCCGCTTACAGCTGCAATTGACGTATTTACAATATACATATATTTATAAAAGTCGTTGTCGAATTTAAGTAATCATATTTACCTTTCTCTGTCGACTCCAGCTTCGGTTGTGCTTCTTCACATTCCATCTTTATCTCTCTGCTAACACCCGGCTCTATTTTTATGGGTCCTATGTCCAATTCATTTACTGTTACTTTTTCCATGTCCACATTCGTTGCTGTATTTACTTTGCTGGCATTCCAATGCTTGTTAACATTGTATTTATCTTCATTGTTAGCTTCCGTGTACTCCTTCTTAATGCAGCTCACATTTATAAGTTGTTCCATTTTATAATATTACTTGCCGTAGCTTTAAATATCACAAGCAAAAATTACTTCGAGTTGTTTATAAAAAACAGCTGTAGCTAGGGATGGAACAATCGGCAAATTCATTTATGCGCTACTCATCTCTATGCAGCCAAAAGGGCCATCCTTAAAGCGCGCAATAAGAACTATTTGAATGACTTGCTATCTTATAATAATTTAATACTTTTTATAATTTTGTAAACTTTAAATTGCAGTATTTTATTAAACAGTAATTAAGTCTAATATATTAACTATTCGTTTTTTTAGCTACGTATTTTTAGACTACATAAGTACCCTTAAATGCACCCTTAAACCTTAAATAATAGTATTAATATTTACATAGATATTTGGTCTAAAGCTTTTTTGTCATTAAGTTGAACTTAAATTGTGTCATTAACATTTAATTTTTTGGTTTTAGTTTTTAATTTTTTATTTATTCTATCCTTGGCGTGCAGAAAATGCTGTTGGCAAATTTTGTGTATATCAACATCCGTGGCATAACTGAATCTTAGAAAGCCAATTTCTGTAAAAGATTCAAGTTTGTACGTGATATATAAATTTTAATATTCTTAAATCCAGCACTTACCTTTTATGACATTAAACGTGGCAAAGCTTTGGAAACTGGGCTTGTCATTGGTGCCACACCAAGTTATATTTGTGGACGCTTCATCCGATAATATTCGCCGCAAAGCCAGCCTGGTAAATGCTGAGAGATCGCTTCCGCCGACTCGAAGCAGAAAGTTCTTCTATCAAATAAAAACAAAACTGTTTATTTTGAAAAACTCTAAAATATGTCTAGATAACCGACCAGATTTACGCGCAGATCATTTTCCGCCAAGAGTTTCTGATCAAATTCCTGAAATTTCACAAGCGTTGGCAGCGGCAGAGTTGGCAAGAGATTTGATACACTCTCTGTTGTGGGCAGAGCTCTTAACTGGCTGACTTCATTTCTTAGATTTATGATCTCTTCGGTTAGTGTATGGAACATGCTTTGGTAAACTTCATTCATAGTTCGTATTTCGCTTAGGATTTGATTAAATGCTTGGCCCGCAGAAAGATTCGTTGAAACTCCAGCTTAAAAGATTAGGCAGACGAATAATATATATTATTGTGTTTTGTTAAATATATGATTATACATATGTATTTTAAAAGATTACCTTGAGTTGCCAAATTTTGGAATTGTAATACTTAAGAAACTGCGGGCTCAAATAAAATTGAATAGTGTTCACTTTTTCTTAGTTTTAATAAAAATAATTTAGATATGTGTAAAACGTGTGATTTTATTGCTATGTACAGTTTCCCTTAAAACGAACTACAATGAGAATGAAATTGCAAAATATTACATACAATTGCAATTATTATTGTTATCTCATTTAACAGTAAAATAAAAGTACTTATACTTACGTGCAAACAGGTTATATATTAGTCAAAAATATTCACAGTTTAGTAATTATTAATTGTGAAGCCTTTTATATATACATATACATAATTTCTTTCTCTCTATTAATTTTAAGATTCTCTCTTCAGCATATGTATATACTTATATATGTATATACATATATATACATAACACACACGTACACAGTTGCTGACATTCTCTCTAAAACTTAAAAGAGAGGGAGAGAGAGAGAGAGAGCCGCACGGCTGCTGTGCATAAGGAATACGCAAAAGCCGACTGTCATTAATTTTGCTTTCGTGCTCCATTTGTGCTTTTTCTTTTCATTATTTGTGCGGGATTAAATGAACGCAATAGTTTTTATTTTTGATCGCAATTAACGTGAAAACAATGTGTTCTAGTTCGTGTGATAAAATTCGTGTGTGATCGCTAATAATTTAAATTTAAATCTGTGAGTGATATTTGTAATTGTGTGCCGTGTGCTTAACATTAACTAAAGTGCAATATTGCAAAAAAAGAAGTTGCTAATAAAACGGGCAGCAGCAGGTACGTGCATGCATTCATTTATACATATATACATACATACATATAAAAAGTAGTTTTCTTTACTGGCTAAAGCCTTACCAGGAGTGTCGAATAAGCAACCTCTTACCTGCTTTCGATCTGTAAGACATAAAAGATATGTTTAAAAACTAGTTGATTGATTTGTATTTTATAATTATGGCTCACAAGGCTTGCGACCGTTGCACCTCGTGGTACGCCGCGGTGTCCATTTCCATTGCCCCATCCTGTGCTATTTTCGTGGGTTCTATATCAATATTATTTGCTTGTAATTGCTCTGCTGTTTCCTCAACACATACATGCGGCTCCAGTTTTATTTCATTGCTTTGCCATTGCTCAGACACAATGTATTCACAATGGCCGTTCTCGTATTCCTTTTTAATGCCTTTCGGGTTCACAATTGGCTCCATTGCGGGACTATATACCGGCAGGTAGTTGTTGTATGTAAACAAACTGTAGTTTTCATTTATTCGATATGGAACAATATTGCGATTAGCGATGGTATGTTGCTCAAGTGCCGGCTACAGCAAGTATTTTAAAGTATTTAGCAGCGGCTATCGGCAAGATACTCACGAAATCTAAAAAATAAATTGAAATATAGGTCGTTCTTAAAGGTTGTTTTAATTTTATTATTCTTTTTTTTTTTTTGTTATCGATCATATTTATATATATGGGTTTATATATGATGAAATTAAATAAAGAGGCTTAAATGCGGAGTTCTAGTTGCCTAGTTCTAATTTAAAAACATGATATGAGAGTAAGTGTCCTGACTTTTTGCACTTGGAGGCGCGAAAGAAATGAATTAATGATAAGGGAAAAACGATCAGTACAATATCGATCAGTAAATACCTAACACATATATTTAATCAATTAAAACATTTGTTTCGTACATTATTTCTTAATAGATTTAATATTATTTATAATGTACAAAGCTTCAGTTACAACTAAAATTTGAGTATATATATATATATATATATGATTTATAAACTATATTATATGTAAGTAATTTATAAATTTTTAGCTAGTCCTCTTTTTGATTTTGCGAGATCGACTTTTATGGATCCTGTTTTTGTTGATTTTATATGCAGATCTGATATTGACAACAAATTCTTCACGTGACTCCAAGTCAGATGCTTCTATAATAATCAAAAAAGTAATATATAAAATGATTTTTTTATTTTATATCTTACCAAAAAGACCAGCTATGAAATGTTCATAAACTTTAATTGGCTTCTTGTTTTGAATGCCATCATAATTGTGTGAGAGAATCAATTTCTCACTAAATATCTTTGAGAAATTCTCTGTTATATTGGCGCAAAGAAGTTTTCGCATTTGCCTTATCTGACAAGTAGAACGTAAATTAAAGTTCACTAAATGCCATTTTCCTATATCTTTAGAATACTTACAATATTTGGTCTCTGCTCAGTTTGCAGCTGTCCTTCTAGGTATTGCAGATTTTCTTCGTCTTGAAGTGGAAAAAGGTCTGCAAATTTGTCGGTTGTTAGGCTAAGATTCATTTTTAATAGAACACACATTTCTGTCATTGCCTTCCTTAGATTGCTGTGCTCTTGCAATATGTGATCTTGTTTAAGCAAAACATTCTGCAGCTTTTTATTAACATTTCGTAGCTCAATTCTCATATTAAGTAGTTCGTCAATTACGGAGTCTATGAAGTATGTAAAATCATGTAAATATTGTTATGTTGTTGTTAACAAATATAAAAAATCCCATGTTTAATGTTTGATTAAACTAACCTTATATACACATACTATGTTAAAGCTAATGTGACACAAAAAACAATTGCCAATTAGTTTGATTGTAAATAATCTTGTTTTGCTTAAGTCATGTATTTTGCTTATAGAAAAATCTCTGTCAGATTAAAATGGCATCAGTCTGTGTTAGATCCTCGAGCCGCATTATTCAAGTTTAACATATTTTCTGTTTATGTGTCGTCGTTTTAGTCTTCTTGATCTTTCGTTTAACAAAGTTTATCAAATAGCCAACGAGCTCGGGCTGCCATAGTTCCATGTTGGCAAATGCGAGCTTCTTGAAATGTTCTCTATAAGAATAGAAAATTGTGAGAAAATTTGCCTATACGTCTTCTTTTTCCTTTTTAATAAGTAATTGCCAGAAATAGTCCATTTTAAATTGCCAAATATTTCTTAAGGTACCTGCAAAATATACGTTGAAATAAATAGGTTTAAATACCAAATATCAAACTCAATACGCACCTGCCGATTTAGTAGGCATATTATGTTATTCCTTTATAATTAATATATATTTCAATTAGTAAACTGTTATGTATTACACATTCTCTCAATTTTTGTTTCACTTTCACTTGAAGACACTTTTTAAATGAATGTTGAAAGCCATATAAAAGAATTTCAACTACATATTTAAGTTAAAAGGGTTCTAACAATGGGGATTGAATTGATTAATACTACGATCTGGTATTGGGCAAGTCTCGAGGCGGTGTTATTCAATGGGATCGTCTTATATACCCAACAATCATGCTCTGAGTTTGATTCAACATAAAATCTCGATCTTGCTTATGACAGCTATGTGACATCGTGCTCTGAACCAACAAAAGGACGACCGTTTACCAAGGCTCATTAAAACGTAGACGAATATACAAAGAAAAAGAAAGTTGGGCATGGATACTCTCTATAAGGACTTCTAGAATATGAAAACTTAAGCTAAAACCGAACTTCAATGCTTGACAGTCTGTTCGCTCTCTGATTTGAACTTAACATAATAACAATACAGTTAAGTACGAATTTTCCACATTGTCCAATATCTGGGCTACAAAAGTGGAAATACCTTTTGCTTCCCAAGTTGCCTGTGCACCCTCTTACCTTTTGTCAACCTGTAAGGCATAGAGGCGATTTGCGGTTAAAAAGCGGGTTTAAGCTGAGATTTGATATTGCTTACTTGTTTTGTGGCTGCGTCAATTCGTTAATTCCCTCGTTGGGCGTTTCAATCGCCTCATTGGCCACAAAAAATTGATTCCTGATCGGCCCAATATCGCAATCATTGTCGGACAAAGGATCATCATTATCGTCCTCGCCCGCAATCGGTTCTGTTTTCATGTTGTTGTCTGCATTATAGCCGCGACCATGATCAGGTACAATGAAGTCTTCGTCGTTTAGTTCCGTTTTAAGTCTTTTCTCGCTTTGTTCCATACCAAGCTGCTGCTAACGAAATCAAAATCAAAACAAAATTATTTGCTATTAAACAGCTGCCATTAGAGATGGTACGATGTTGTCAGTTATCCTAGTCGCAGCTATCGCATATAGCGATATGTGGCGGATACATTAATCGATTAGTTACTCGTCGTGGCTATCGATACGGCACAACTATCGTTGCAATTTCAGTCGGCCATCAGCAAGTCTTATGCTATTTAGTTCTTTATTCTGTAACGTTTCTTCTTGCCGCTGAAAATCAACGTTAAGCTAATTTAACTCGTCAGCATATATTTTTGACCTTTTTCATCTTTACGACTTACTTACTGTATATGAGAGAGGTTGCAGTATGAGTGCTGATTTAAAAACAGAATTGAATAAGCTGACAAACGTGGAACACGTGGCGACGCAGCTATACGGCAAAATTAAGGATTCAAAGCTGGAAGAGAATTTGCCTTTTGGGGATCATAATGATGATGATTTGACCAAGCTGCAAGTCGAAAATACGAAACTTAAACACCGCTACGCTATAATTAAAAAAAGTATTTTAAGCTTACAGTCACAAACAACTTCTGAAATGCACGACGATGATACATTTGCCATTACGGAACATTTGGAAAAGGTTTTTACACAAGCTATAGCCACAGCCTATCCACGCTTCTCCAACGTTCCAGCTATTATTGCGGCTGTGAATGCGTCCCCCAAATTCGGAGATTACCAGTGCAACAATGCCATGGGATTATCCAAGAAAATGAAAGACGAAGGCATTAATAAGTCTCCGCGTGATATTGGCCTAGAGATTCAGCGATGCTGTCCGGCATCCCCAATTATAGAGAAGATCGAAGTGGCAGGTCCTGGTTTCGTAAACATATTTCTTAGCAAGGAATTCGCGGTGAGCTCCTTGACCCGCATGTTGCGTGAGGGCGTCAAGCCGCCCAAGGTGCCAAGGAAGCGCATCCTAGTCGATTTCTCTTCGCCAAACATAGCAAAGCAGATGCACGTCGGCCATTTACGCTCCACAATAATTGGCGAGTCAATTAGCCGGCTGCTAGAGTTTCTGCAGCATGATGTTATACGCATAAATCATCTGGGCGACTGGGGCACGCAATTTGGCATGCTGATAGCACATCTGGAAGACTGCTTTCCCAATTTTCTAAACGAAAGCCCACCTATTGGAGATCTACAGGAATTTTATAAGGAATCCAAGAAGCGTTTTGATGCCGATGAAAGTTTCAAAAAACGGGCCTACAATCGCGTCGTCACCCTGCAAAGCGGTGAGCCCGCAGCAACGAAAGCCTGGCAACAAATATGTGATGTGTCACGTAAGGAATTTCAGAAAATTTATGATCGCCTGGATGTGACAATCCAAGAACGCGGCGAATCATATTATCAGTCACGCATGCTGACAGTAGTTGAGTTTCTGCGAAATAAGGGCTTGCTGGAGCTAGACGACGGCCGGGAAATCATGTGGCCCGATGTTAATAAGAGTGAAATTCCTTTGACAATTGTAAAATCTGATGGGGGCTTTACCTACGATACTTCGGATATGGCAGCTATAAGGTGTCGACTTGAAGAAGACCTCGCCACTTGGCTAATTTATGTCGTGGACGCCGGGCAAAGCACCCATTTTCATGGAATTTTCAAGGCCGCAGAGCGGGCTGGCATTTTAAATCCGAACATTCATCGTGTTGATCACGTACAGTTCGGCGTGGTATTAGGTGAGGATGGTAAAAAGTTTAAAACACGATCGGGTGATACTGTGAAACTGTCCGATCTGCTTGATGAGGGATTGAAGTACTCCTTGAAGCAGTTACAGGAAAGGGGTCGTGACCAAATACTGACGCCCAAAGAGTTGGTCGAGGCTCAAGAAGCGGTTGCATACGGTTGTATCAAGTACACGGATCTGTGCCATAACCGTATCAGCGATTATATATTTTCATTTGATAAAATGCTCGATGATCGTGGCAATACCGCGGTATATTTGTTATATACATATACACGCATTTGCTCGATTGCTCGCAACTCTGGGGAAGATTTCAGCAACCTGGCTGAGATTTTAGATAAATTCAAGATTGTTTTGGAACACGAAAAAGAATGGAAACTTGTGAAAACCCTGCTCAAATTGCACGATGTTTTAATGAAGTGTGCCAATGGCCTATTTCTGCACTTTCTATGCGAGTTCTGCTATGAGGTCTGCACTGTGTTTGCCGAGTTTTATGACAGTTGCTATTGCATTGAGAAAAATAAGGCTGGCGAAATCTGTAAGATTAATCACAGCCGAATTTTAATTTGTGAGGCGACAGCCTCCGTTTTGCGAACATGTTTTCATATATTGGGCCTAAAACCTGTTGCTAAAATCTAATACAAGGCAGCGTTAAAAAGCCTTAAAAAACAATATGTATCTAATGAAAAAATTAATAAACTACTCGGATTTTTCTAAAAAACCCATTCGTTTTATCTGCTTTATTTCTTGATGTGAATCTTAAATGTAAATCAAAAATTCGAATTATTTTATTCCATAATTAAAAATAATATATTTTTAAGGCCCAGTCTTATAATTTTGGAATAATTCTTATTTCCAAGAGTACTTAGTTTCATGTTAAACTTTTTCAACTAATTTTCAGAAGAGCGTGGATTATGTACAATTGAAATACTTATCAATATAATTTTTCTTCAACTTTTTTTTTTCTTATATTTAAAATATTTAAGCGCTTAACGAAAGCTTTGCGATTTCTAGTACATCATTTATTATTGCATAAATTTGCATAATTTTTTTATTTTCCATATTTGTATTTTAATTCAAATATACGTAATTCATGCTCATTTGCTAGCTTCTGATAATCCAAGTGTAATTGGCCTTGTATCTTTCGCTTCTCAATCTCAAGCTTCTTTTTCCATTCAAATCTTGATACAAATTTGTTTGTTTGATTTGGTAACTGAAATTTACGAACTACACTGAAGGGCATCCAACAGAACCAAAAAGAAATTATTAAATATGTTTCAATAGTATTTATATACTATATATTAACCATTTTACATATATATTTACTTAAGCTACGTCTTTAAACCAAAAACTTGTGGAAATTGGTAGCGATACAAGTGAACGAATTCCACGCTTCACCCAGAAAAAGTCTCATATAATAACACTGTGTCAGTCGTGCCAATATATATGAAGCAATATCAATTGACTTTTAGTCTGTTTAAACAAAATCATTTATCTGCGTGGAAAATGGGTGGAATTCAATAAAATGTAGAAATAACTCTGATGCAATGACTTTATACATATATATGAACTTATCATGCAATTCTAAAGCAAATCTGCATGTCTGCATTTGGCCATCTTGAACTTGTATTTTTCTTTTATAATACTTGTAGGTTTTTATTAAATGTACATGTACTTACATTCATTTCATAATACTTATGAATGTAAAAATATTAATATTAAATTAGTTTGTAGAATTTCCATATTTCTCATACAAAATGTTGATCACTTTTATTTTTTTATCCAAGTCATTTGGCAAGGCTCTTTCTGCCTTTGCCAATGCTTTTCCTAATGTCTGTTTGCATGCATAGGGCTCGAGGTTCTCTTCTATTTGAGTTTCATTTTTCTTTCTGTCTCGATATCTTCTTTGCTTAATACGATGTTTTTCCAGGACGCATTCTTTATTGTCGGACATGAGCCTCTCACGATATTTTCGTGCTCTCTCTTTGGCTTTTTCACGGTAACACGCCAACTTTATGGGGTCCTTTTTTAAAGCCTCCCTTTGCCGTTTTGCCATTAGCCTTCTTCTTTCAGTAAATGATTCCTTCTAAAAAATGAATATTTAAATAGCAGGAGATTTTCGAAAGGAATATTTGAGAACTCTTGACAACAGTCCGTTTTTCAATTTTTTTTAATATTTGCAGACATAAAAAATGAACAAATTTAAATAGAACTGAGGTACTAACTCTGCTAGCTGAGGGAATAACCTTATTAATTGGGTCCAGAGATTCCTTGTTGCCGCACATGCTGCTAAATAAATCGAAGTACCACAGATTCGAAACGTACTTTTTGTCCGAGCCAATGTTGCCATTGTTCAAATAATCAATCTTGCGCAGCTCCAGATTGTAGTAGGACCTATATCCATTGATTTTCTTTTGCATTTCTTTCCTGTCGCCATCAGGATAGTATTCCCGATATTTGGTCAGCAGGTTTGCGTATTGAACTTCTTTTTTCTTGGGATCGTGGAAATCTTCTGAGTTAATATCCCACAAGCCGGGCGAGGCGCGATAGGCCTGAAGAAATTCTATCAAAAAAATACGTTTGGCGTGCTCCTCAGGACTGTCACACAAAATAACGTCAAAAGTTAAATAAATTGGATTTGGCAACGTAAAAGTATGGCTTACAGATTGGTTGCAAATTCCGAGAAGTATTTGCTGTAACATATTAAATGGGATTACAGGTTTGTTTAGGTATTCGGGTAGGCATAGGCTCACCTCCAAGAGGATTCTTCGTTATGCATTTTCACCATTGTCTCGGCATCGTTCTCTTGCGGTTCTATTTTTACTGGACCAATATCAATGCTATCCATAGTTGGACAATCTGTTTTTATCACGCACGGCTCCAGTTTAATATCTGGCTCCGATTGCTCGGGTAATATATAGTCCTCTGTGTCCCCGTTTTTCTTGATAAAGTTCGTCTTGATGAACACTTCTATATTTTGGGTCATTGTCGCAGAGATATTTGACGTATTATTTTCTGTAATCACGTTCAAACTGTCAACATTGTCCGGGCTTAGTTTTCTTTTGTCCAGGTATTCCCCTTGGATTCGCTGCGTTTTCGCACTCATTTCTTAGTTTCTGGGTTTACAGGGAGGTAAAAGATAACGTGTTATACGTAAATGTTTATTAACTGCAGTTAATAAACAAAACAAAAAGCTAACAATGTTAGAGACGCGTGCTTGAAGCAACAGCTGTTCTTAGTGATGGCAGATGCATTTGCGTGGCAGTGACTTTTCACAAGTATTTTTATGTAGCAGTTTCTTGAAGTAGTCACAGTAGCAGCTTATGTTTCTAAATTAAATTGGTTGGCTAAAGGCAGGCAAGAATAATTATCAATGAAAGTGTACGAATCAAAGACAAGCACATAAAAACAAGAAACTGAAATATTTTCCAAGAGAATTTATTAGATATTTGTTATTTGATTCTTGATTAATTGTGATAGAATCTCTCATCTCTTACAAAAATCGTTGCGTCAATGTGTGAATGGCAATATGAAGAAGAAGTTGGCCTAGACCATTCACAACGCACAACATTGCCGTTAGATTTGAACTTTAGTTAAAAACATTTTGCTTCTGATAAGGCCTAGAAACTATGTTAAATATCGTTGTTGTACAATCTTACTTAATAATTCTTACAGGGCCCACTTTTGGTTTTCATTAATAAAAGTTCTGGAAATTGATTTTATTGAAAACCTTGTTCTAAATTTTGATACAAATCAATTTCATTATCTTATTTTTCTAAAGCTTAAAGACTTTCGGGCCACAACAAATTAAACATTTATAGTTAATGTCAATAAAAAAAAAATACTATTCAATTGATTTGTAGTCAAAATTCAGAACAAAGTCGCTTTTTATTTTATTTAACGTTTTACATAAAGCTGGACAATGTAGCATACTAAAACTACTTGAGACTTGTATTTATTTATTTAAGCTACATATTTAAACTATGTATGTGTATAATTGCTATTATATTTCGCTGGCATCTGTTAACCAAGCGCTGTAAAGTCGCTGCATTAAAATTCTATGAATTATATATATTACATATGGATTTGCTTATAACTAATTTCTGTATTATTCCTTTATTCAATTATTATCCGTTGACTAATTTAATGGATTCACTTAAGCATTAAGCTACTTATTGGGCTAATGGTAATGCATATTTTAAGTGTTCTACGACCTCACATATCATTTTTCTTAGACTTTTAGCCGCTATACGCGCGTGGGTGTTCCAAATATGGGGACATTGTTGCGTCTCTGGGCCAACGGTGAGGCGGGCACCGGGGTTGGCCCATTGTTGTTGTTGTTCAGACGACGTTGCTGGCTATCCGAATAGGCACGTTCTAAAAAAAGGTGGCATATCTATCAGACATATGTCCATATACATATATACACATATACATACATATACTTATATATATATATATGTACATATTCATATCATTTGGTTCTATTGATTTGCCATGCTTGTTGGGTATTTTTTTTGTAGGGTTTCTGCATGCACTTTTATTTTAATTTACCACATATTTTCCGTTTCTTCTGCAAATTGTTAACATGCAATTAAAATAAAAAAATATATTTACAATTAAATTTAATAATTGCTACAAATAATAATGGTGTGCGTGCTTTATACTTGATGACAATTGAGAAAATTTGATGATTATATATAAAATTTAATAATATGAAAATTCCATAGCCGACTCTATTAATATTACACACATATTACTAATTTCTATCCGACATTATCTATACGTTCTTCATATCTATTTGTTCTTCCGATCCAATCGGTTTCAAGTATCTAGAGTTGAATGTCACCTTTCTGAATGGAAAATGGGTGGAATGGTTACAATTTAAAGTGGATCCCTTGCCAAGACAGATTGTTTACCACAAATTCCCACTTCTGAGTGGAAAATAAGTGGATTTCATTTAAATTAAAAGAAAATACGATCATGTACTTGAACTTTAGCATGCATGTCTCCAACCTATTTAAAACTGAGTTCAAGTGTAAGTAACACTCATATTATATACAAACATATACGTGCATCTATGGGGACAGTTGCTTACCTCGAAACTTCAAGCCCTGCGCTTCGTTGATGATGGCCGCCAGTGCCGGATGCTGATAGCGCTCCCGGAATATGGCAGATCCGTTCATGCCGGAGCTGCCATTGCCGTTGAGCGTACCGTTGCCGTTGCCATTGCCATGGTGCATCATTTTGTGCTGTGGCGTATGTTGGGGCGTTAGTGAAATCGGAGGCGTGGCATTACCATTCTTATAGTAGCGATTCTGATTGGGATCATAGGCGGTGGTGTTCTGATCATTATTGTGGTTCAGGCGATTGGCCAGCTTGATGGACGCGCAGCGTTCCTCTTCGTTGTTGCGCATCTTCAATATGCGCTGATCCTGCACCGAGTAGCGCGAGCCGTGCAAGGAGTTCAGCTGGTTCAGATTGTTTACCTGGGCGCTCAGCTTATTGGCGCGAAAGCTTCCACCTGGCGAGTTGTTCAGCAGTGTGCCACGCGAAGAGCTGCCATTGGTTTCGGTGCTATCACGACTCGCTGCCTCCCGATAGCTCGAGGGACGATGTGTTGACGGCGGTGTGTCCAGGCCGCTATCATGTGCCGAGCAGTCCAGCTCCTGTTTGTTGGCCAGGCCAGCATTGCTGCCGCCGTTCGTGTTGTGAGTGGGCAGCATTGGTTGCACTAGGGTTAAGGGAAGGTTGGATTAGTATACAGCTTTAATGAGCGTGATTAGACACGGCACGATAACGAACCAAGAAGTTATCCGAGTTTCTTTTTCAAATAAAATGTTTTCTATATATCGAAGACATTTCCCACTTGAGTATACTAAAATTGAGTATAAACCAAACTTGATTTAAAAGTTTAAAATGTGGCAAAATGTTAAAAAAATACATGTAAAATTAATTTTAATTCGTACATGAATTAAATACAAAACTTGCATGTCTAAACATTTTCGGACTGAACAAATATTCTTTACAAGAGAATTTCGTTGTCAAGTTGATAAATTTTCACTTTGTGTACGATTTGAGTATAAGATTCTTGCATTTTCTTTCGAGAGTCACTCGTGTCACGAGATACGACTTGTGGTTGGGGGTTTTCTTATAACTAACCTGAGTGCCGCATATCGGTGGGCGCACGCGGCTTGCGATAGAGCCAATCTCTGTCCAGCTCGTTGCCATTGTCCGGTTGGGCGCTGATGCCACGGAAGAGCCGCGGCCGACGCAGCTGCACCTCCGCCTCCTCGGCGGTCTCCTCGTCCACCACCTGATTGGAGCCAAAGCTGCTGTTGATAAAAATGCGCCGTGGCGAGCCATACAAAGCGCCACCAGCCTGCGTAAAGCTATTCTGGGCCGAGGCATAGCCATTCGAGTAGCGACTCAGATTCGCATTGCTGTGGTGCGGTATCTTCTGTGGCGTGGAGTGATTCGTTGAGATGCCGCTCAAATGATGATTGTGATTCTCATTATTCAATGCACTCAAGTCCGGCACCGAATCGCTGAACAGAAATGGATTGGCGCCCGCATAGCCATTCAAGCTGCCAGCGCCGATTTTGTGACGTGCCAGGCCACCGCCGCCGCCGGCGCCATTCGTCATCAGCCAATCGTCCAGGGCGCTGGAGTAGGTGCTGCCTAGGCCGAAGTGCTGGAACTGCAGCGAGGCATGCGAGACGGGCGCGGCTAGGGAGGCCCGCGATCTCGGACCCTGGGCGATCTTCAGAGCGCGACGGCGCTCCTTGGATGTCAGCGTGCATTCCTGTTCAATGAAAAGAAAACCCCCTTAGATATATACCCTATAGAAAACGAACTTAAGACTTGCCTCCAGCAGCTCAAACCAATCCTCGAGGCCATCGTCGCAGCGCAAGAGCACGCGACCCTCGCGTCCCAGCAGCAGCCCGATGACGCTGTACGAGCGTCGATTCAGCCATTCCACCTTCTCCACGTCCACCAGTTTGATCTGAAATGGTTAAACAAAACAATAAGCCAACGGTCTACAGCATTGTTAAAATACAATGCAAGTCAAAGGTTAGGCAATGATCGTCGGTTTCTCTGGGTCACGCAACAGGGGTCTGGGAATTGGATTGCCGTCGAACTAAAGACGTTCACGTTTCTTTGAAGTGATGAATGATCATCCAAAGAATTACATCATTTGCGGTGGGCTTGTGCGTGATTGCCAAGGGAAACCCCAAAACTCCTTAGGACTTAAGATGTAACTTAGCAAATACCGAAGATGTCGTTATATTAATAATAAAAATGTATAGACATTTTTTATTATTATCCTGAACCGGTGAATATCCAAAATTGGTTTAAAAACAAGAAATAATTAACGAAAACCCAACAACTATCAATATTTATAATTATAATACTTATGTGCATATACAGCACTGACTACAAAGGTTTTTAGCTTAGTCAGATTAAAACAGATTCGAACGGATCAATAGTTGTTATAAGTTGAACATCTAAATCCACAAATTGCAGTGGAGATTTTAACAAACATGTCTCAATATCTCTGTTCCACATTAATTTAGTTTTTTTCTCAGATTTATATATATAAATGATACAGTATATTCATTATGTATCTGTAAAACTTCTCTTAAACTCATTGTTTGTGAACTCCTTTCTAAGTTTTCTGTTCAGTATTTTAATTTTTAATTAAAAATGTTTTCAGCTTTCTTTGCCCCACAAAATTGGCTCAGAATGTTACGGGTTATGACATCAGCTGGCGGATAGTAGCGAGTAGTTCCATTTAAGATTGCATCGCACTTGCCATACGAAACTAATGTACTTAAATTTAATGGCAGACGCCATAAAATAAATTGCTACTCAATTATTTTTAGCACGTCTTTATGCAAAACTTTTGGCCCAACAATACAACAATTAAGTGCCACCCTCTATCTGTAGCCCCCCCTCCAATAAATCTACCTTTCTCTAACTACTAAGCATTTCTTTTGCTTCTCCGTTTGGTCTGGTCTCTGTTCGCCTTTATTTCTTCTTAGTGCATTTTGCAACTCGGTTAAAAGTCATTAGGCCAGGCTGACAGTTTTTGCCTTGGCCAAGTGCAAAACTTTTTACCATGTAGAACTTTTATTGAACTCATTTTTCCACATTGTTGTCGTTGTTGTTGGTCTCTGGGCATGTTTATGGGTTTTATTTGCAGGTTGTTGCCGGCACTGCCTTATGGCCTGAACTTAAAGTTGTTACAGATTCTGCGCTCCAGCTAAAAACTATACGAGGCCATTAGGCAAATATGTCAGCAGCGTGTGGCAATTAGCCAAGTTATGCGATATCAAACGTTGGCCAAGATTTTTCTTAGCTTCACGCTGCCTGCTTCTATGTTTATGGCCAACCATAATTAAGTTGTTTTAAACGTTGCGGAGTGTACGGGGCGCGTTGGATCGTTTTTATGATAAATTGCGCGATTTATGTTTACAAAATAAAAATAAAAAATCATAAGGCATTAGAAGGGATTTGAAATACTTTGGATATGCGATCGCTCATCATGCAGCATGTCAAGCCCAAAAGGCCTTGTCGTACAGCTATTAAAATGCGACCCAATAAAATGATCTAAGGCAACAAGCAGCGTGTGGGCTGGAACATGCAAAATGTTTATGTAATTTGTGGCTGCTGCCTATATATAAGGATTTTTGTAAATTTATTTAGAACTGTTTTGTGCATAAAACATTTATTTGGGCTTAGATAAAAATGTTTTCTTGTAAATTCAGCTCTTGAGTTTTGCTGCTAAGCTGTTTGACATTGATGAATATGAGACTGGAAAACTACGGATGAGGTATTTTAAATAGTGCTTTGCAGAAGGTAAAAAATTATAAGAAAACATTAATTTGAATAGGGAAAAGCTTTTAAATAGCTTAGCTCTATTTCCAATAGAATATTGTTCAATATCTGAATTATATATTCTTAACGTTTAAACTGTTTTTCTTTTAATTATTTGTAGTTATATATTTTAAATTACTTTGTTCCATTAGAAATTGTTAAAAAGAAAATTGCTTAAAATGAATCGGACAAAAATGTGCAAAAATATTTAAATTTCTGGGATCATTCTCAGTGTCCTTTTGCCTAGTCGTAAATACTATGCGCCATCTGAGGGTGATTCGGGTAATATTTACAACACAGAAATAAAATGTATCTAAGAGCAAGATCTCTTAAAGAACGAATGGGCGTGTTACGCGTATATAAGAATTGGCGAAACATTAAAATATTAATGTATTTTACTCTATAAATTAGTATTTCTGTGTGCAGTGTTATGACTAATTAAAAACGCAGTTCACTTTTACTTTCATGTTCATATGCATAATTATCTGGCTTTTAAACTAAGCCAACAGTTTGGCTTAACTGACCTCATTAAACAATTCATAATGACATTTTCCGATTTTCGACACAAAATTTAACTGTTTTTAGACAACCAAAGCAAACTTTCAAAAAAAAAAAGAAAATATTAAATCTGATTTTCAAGGTTGGCATTGATTAGCTGTTATTGTTATTGATATTATTTTGTTTGTTGTTTCATATTTTGTCATATTTAATTGCATTGTCTGTCAAAACGTAACAAAACTTGACGGCGACTCACTCATTTGTGTGGCCCATTCATTGTATCAACAAATTTGATATGTAGGCTTCACTCTATATTTGAGTACTCGTAATTCAAGTAAAGCCATTGATTTCGTACACTTTTGATTGATTTGTATGGCTTGTAAAATTATAATTATAATATTTTGGAGAGCATTGGAGGCATTTTGTCATCTTTTTAATTTTAATTATGCAAATGCATTTTTAACACGAGTTCAACCTGCCGCCAGGCATTCAACTCAATTAATATCGAATCATTATATGAGGAGTACATAAAAATCAATATTGATTTCATTCACTGTCAAAGTGCAAAAATCGCAACTTTCAGGCAACTTTGTGCGACCCGCAGGCTCTCGATTGCTCCGTTTTCCACTCTTCTCCCCTATATCATTATGTGCCTACCACTCACCCCCCACCTGTCACATCACCTGTAATTATTAAGCTTCGCTACGCTTCACGCGCGATTGATTTCCCCCATGGAAATCATCTGCAGTCACTGGGCACAGAAATGTTTCATCGACAGGCGAATCGAATCATCATTTTGCCAAAGGTAGACACAAAATTTGCAATCACTTTGAAATTTATGCAAAAATTAAATTAAATAATTAGACTGTAAATGAGACTACCTCTCCATCGCACGCCTAATTGATTAAGTTGATTACATTGACAAGGCGTTATTGATTCTAGTTCCAGTATCGCTTACTGTCAATTGCCACCGAACAGAGAGGCGACGAAAAATACATGAGCATAAGAATACACTTTAAAAATAAAAGAATCGGTATTTCTATATATAGAATTAAATCCTATATATTAAATTGAATAATTGTTGTTTTCGGTTATTAATTATATATGTATAATTTTTTTTGACTTGAGAACCATTTCTGAATCAAATATCCAAGATTGAGCAAAATCAGAATATTCCTAAGGAGAAGTGCACTGTTTAGAAATAGGATACAGGTTGAAAATAGATTAATGTATTAAAATAAAAAAGAATTTGTATAAGCTTGTAAATACATTTTAACTTTTTAAATTTGTAGCTTTAACATATAATTAAATCTGACGTTGTAATTAGATATGATCAACAATGAAGACTGAAGAAGTGTATTGGCACTTTTGTATATTAACTTAAACGTATTTTATACTCTTTTCAATTTCTTTAAGCGATATAGTTGGCACAAATTTAACCTTTGAAATTCTTGATATATTTCCATATATATAATAATATAATATATGTATATATTTCCAAATTTACGCTAAAATCTTGAAAATCTTGATTTAAATTTAATGCCAAAGTAAACGTACTTATTGAACGTAAGAGTATTATGGACTTCAAAAAGTCGCCGACCCGGAGGCCTCTAATGAGGAAGGCAGCGAGTGGCCTCTCTGCTCAATGACTCGACTTTGTTCATGGTTCGTTTATCTGGTTGTTGTCTCTGCTAATAAGTGTGGGTGTCTAAGCTTATGAAGACCATTTTTGGTAAAATTGTTGATTTTTGAAGGTCTCTCAGGTGTAATATTTATTGCTATGCGTGGAACAATTTGAATAATCACGAAAATAACAATAACTATTTTGTGGGGAAAAACTAAGTGAGATAATGCTCAGTTTACACGTGTCATCATATTGGGATAACACGAGATTGTATATTTTGTGACTATTTTTCGGGCAAAATAAACAAAAGAAGGGCAAATTAAAATCATTTGGTATGATATAATATTTTAGATAGGGTAATATTATAGATATTATAGCTTATACTATGAAAAATATTATATTTAAGTTTATATTTTTAAAAAATAGCTTCCCAAGCTTGCATCAAATATTTGATTACCTAATCACGAAGCGTGTGAACACGGCTGCAATTATTTGGGAAGCTTTTTATATATATGCGTATTCCACATTTCATGGCTAAAATAAACCCGTAATACCCATTTAAGGAGCTGTTTGCATTATTTCACTACAATTTGTCGCTTTAAGCACTTGAGCACAGTTCCCAACTTGTTTTTCTTTTTCGCATTTAATTTCATTTACCTCGATTATCTGCTGCTCGCTGAATTGTTTATTTTGGAAAATTGCCCGCAATAAACAAAATGTTAGCTGCTGCAGCTTTAGAAATTTATTTTAATTTTAAATTAAACTGTAAACAACAGTCAGCTATTTATTGATGCTACTTTTGCAGAGATTTTTTTGTTTTAGCGGTAAAGCTAGCAAATAAAACTAGAAAAACTTAAATTAAATGAATATAAAAGCAATTTCCCATGATCTCTTTACAGTTGTTGTTTTTGTTGCTGTGCATGTTAAGTGGCATTTGTGTTGTTGTTGTTGTTGTTGCAGTTTTATGTGCATTTTCCTTATTTGTTTAAAAAAACAACAACAACAACAATGACAATTTCATTGCAATCGTGTTTTTTACTGTTGTTGCTTTTCCTGTTTTCTATGTATTTGAATTTTTCCAGCTGCCTTTTAGCCTCGTATTTGCTTTGTTTTAATGGTAAAGTTGTGCGGCATTGCATGGTATGGGCAGGGATGGGCAGGGATGGGGTGGTAATTGCTGCAGTTGGGCCAGTGGGCCAGGCTCATGTGGGACGAAACGATAGTTAGGCAAATTAACATGCAGTAGCTGCAAGTTTTAGCCAATTAGTTGAGTTTTGCCCAAAACTTGCCGGCGCTCTAATGAAGTTTTTCTATTTTTTTGTTGTTTATTTTTGTTAAGTAGGTAGGGGAAATGTAGTAGGAATTCGCGCTATTTTAATGAGAAACTGTGCGCAACGCCAAGTGCGAACAAAGTTTGCTGGTAAACTGCAAAAAGCATTTAACTAATGCATGAATTTCTCATATGTCTAGCACATCGATAAGTTTAGTTTCCCTACCCCTCCTAATAAAAGATCTCTATCGGGAGACCTCAAGACTGCAGAACGTGACTTTATGTGTCAGCCAGCCACGGTGGGGACTCAATTTATAAGCATTTGTTGTATTGTGTTGAGTTTGTTTTTATTTTCATTTTTATTTTTCAAGGTGTGTCCTGATGTCTGATATGGGACATAAAGCGCACAGTTAACGCCCCACCCTGTCCCTTGGCTTCTGCCCGTACCCCTGCACAGCTATAACTCTCATAAGTATGACAAAGTTATAGTCGTAGTTGTCATAATGCTCGGCATAAATCTCGTTGTGGTAATAGAATTTTACAATGCGTAGTAAATAAGCATGAGATGTGTGCTTTTTGCTCGGGGTGTGTGCCTGTTAACTTGGTCAAGCTGTTGAGGTAACCCCACTGAGGTAACTCTGGATAATTGGGGGGCGTGCTGCAGATGTACTGAGATATGTGCGCTAATAAAAGTTTTACACTTAAATATAGGGCAGTGGCAAACTCTATTGTAACCCCTGCCTGCTTATTTTGTAACGTTAGTGTTTTAAAATAAGTAAAATTAAGCCAAGTTCATGATGTAAACAACATTTTGAATTATTTATTTATTTATTTTATTTATTATTATTTGGTGGCTATCGTTGATGCATACAGCTGGCGATAGACTATATATAAGTATCATATATAGACTTCCCAATAGCAAATTTATTGCAGGCATATATAGTTGTCTCTGTCAAAATGTTTGTAAATAGAATGGTAGTACAAAATCTGGTTTTCATTTGGCCAGATTTGAATAGAACCTTGCCTACATTTAACAGTTGTATTTGCCCAGAGTATAGTATATTCCTTTGATTCGTTTTTTCTCAATTTAATAAATCTTAATATACTGAGTCGCCAAACTATGAAGAGAGGGAAGTTATAAATAAGATGTTCAACTATCTGTTGACACCATTTTTCACTTAAACCTGTTTAGTACTTGATTCTGGGAGCGTAGCCTTTGACATATTGTTTTATTAGTAATTTGGTCAACGTTTGCTTACCTTAAATTTAAATTGTCCCATATCCGAGGCACGTTCATTGGCCGAGCCCGAGGCACGTAGAAAGCAATGCAAATAGTCGCGGGTGAGCACAAAGTATCTGCAATAAAAGAAATAATAAATAAATAATACAAAAAATCAGCTTTGGCTATATTAAAGGTCTCGTTTTAAAGGTCAATTGCTTCATGATAATAATGATTATTATTCAATAATTATCATTCAGCAAAAGTAAGTTCAACAATTGGCAATGCAACAATTGGCCAAGATTAGACACACTTGGCCCTCTTCAACAGGCCACCCGCAGCGTACACAATTTTTATTAATAAATAATAAATCATGCGGCAAAATAAAAGCAAAAAATACCAGAAGTCAAAGCCAAAAGCACTTGAGTAACTCGGTCTCGAAAGCTGCTTTATATTTTATGGTTTTCATAAGACGATGATAATAATATTTTATCGTCTCGGTCGCAGCAGTGAGAAATCTATTATTAATATGCTTTTGGCATTTATTTATTTTTCTTTCCTTACAGAAAGTATAAATTTTATTTTTGCAAAACTTAATAATGCATGCCAAGAGATATTTGCTTATAGACTGCTTTAACTTTATACATCGATTTATTTATGGCCAAAAGTTTCTGGCAAAGGCAATGAAAATTTTGTTTATCGAGTTTTCAAAAGGTGGTCTCAAATAATTTACGGATCTGTTGAAAAAGCGAGTTTCGCTTAAGCAACCTCTTTTGTTGCCAAATTGCTCACTTCCCATTTGGCAGTTGGTTGAGTTTTGGGTTCTTGGCACTCGCAGCTGCCTATTAACGTGGTCAAGCAAATTGAGTTAAGGCGAGACGTTAAATGTTTTGTAAGCTCTTTGCAAAACCGTAAGATGCTTTCGTACCGAGTTTGAGTAATTGCTTAGCAATTGCTTGGGTACAAAATGGAGCTGCAGTGATTAGTTAAGCTTGCTAAATGCTTGGAGCATGAAACCTAGTAAAGAGGATGGGTATGCAGATTGCAAGAAGTTAATGACTGGAAACTGAGGGAAACTAATGTGGAAAAAGTTAGAAAAATTGGCCAAGCAACGGGTGAATTGTAGAACAATCCAAACTGACGTAAATGAGCGGAATGAAAAAGAAATTTCAAATGAAAGGCTGATAATACAAAATAAAACAAGCCGAAGCTAAGAAACTAGTATTAGCATTTTTTGAAAATTTTAATATAAGCTAAAAAGCTATGATCGTGTTGAAAAAAAAACAAGAGCTGTGAAATAATCGTTATTTGGCTTCGCGGAAACAGGTTAAATTTGATTTTTATTGATAAAAGTAATAAATTCAATACGTCAAGCAAAGCTTTAATTACATATAAGACAACTTATCAGATGTGTGTAGATACATACTAATAATGATGGATGAGATATTTCGACAGCTAATATGGATAAGCAAAGTATGCTGATTGATTTCGGCAGTATTGTTGGGAGTTTTAAGCCCATGGGCAGAAAGCAAGAGCGGGGTTGATAATCGACATAAAGAAAATGTTTAAAAACAATTTGCAACTAGTCAAATTTTAAAATATCAATTATGCATTACATTTGACAAAACAGCCGAAACAATGCATCAAATATCTAATTGGCATCGTTTTTAATGGAATTTCCATGCAGTTGCCGAGATCAAATATGCGCAATTGATGGCTGCGCTTAGTGGCTATTAACTGTCAATTAAAAATATGCCGATAAACGTAATTACCAGAGAGAGAAAGAAACATAATTAAATTTCAATTAAATATACAACAAACAAAAACAAAAGCAGAGACCTTAATGCCCTCTGCCACCCACTCAATCATTTGGTAGACCCATTCGCAATCGCATTCGCATGCGGATTCGCATTTGCATACCCCTATTGAATTTGCATCTCACATTTTGCATTATCTGCAGTCCCCAATATGAAAGCAAACTTCAGCCACTGTCAATTATGCGCTTTTTGCAATTAACAACCCCTGGTTAAATATATTTGCATAATTTTTGCCTGGTCAGCTCGGGAGGGTTGTTAAATTTAACACTCTTTTGCACAGGTATATTCACAAATGCTGAAAGGCTTATGAAGTTAATACACTTCGCGAAAAAATGAAGACTTCTATTGTTTAACTAGACATGCATATTTAAGATCGCAGAAATAGGTAGTGGAATTTTTTATATTTTTAGGGAGTAATTCTATGTACCATACTTTAATATAGAAAAGTTTCATATATTTTATATTAAAACTGTCTAATTCTAGGATCATACTGAAAGAACTGAATTATTAAAGTTCTAGAATATTTAGTGAGTATAATTATAAAATGCCGATCCAATCTGAAACTAAGTTAATACTTGGATATTTAAATATTATCAATAGAATAGAAAACAGAACATTTTGCCATACAACAACCTACTTTTCGATCGAGCTATACGATATATTGTCTGATTTTAAAAAGATTTTGCATATATTTGAGGAGCCTAGTTAACCTGATAAATGCACAGTTATATATACATATATATATCTATATATAACTTGATAAAGGAAATAGTTTTTCTTACAAAAACCTACTTTTGAGGCTTATCTTGTATATAGGTACGTATAAACTTTACGGTGTCGGAAATGTCTCCTTCTATACACATTTCTTGCCAAATTTGTATACCCTCTACAATAATCCGTAATTCATCTTAAAAGAGATATAATTTAACTTTAACAAATTTTCAATTATAAAACTGAAACTTTGAAATATAATTTTCTCTATGGAAGATATTTTGAATTCTTGTTTTATTTGTCCCAAAATATGAATATTTCATTGTTATTTCGCTATTTGTACATACGGAAGTATATCTTACCTCTCCTTCCAACGCGAGAAGAGACGATCCCGTTGCTGTAGGAGTAGTCCGCGTTTAATGGGTCCCGTCATGGAGGCTACAGGTATGCGACCTGCCAGCAGCGATTGCTGTGAAAGATAAAAGTGCAACAGAACTGATTAAAATACGATATGATATATAATATATTTACTTATATGTGTGTGCTATCATTTGGAGAAGGAGTTAGTTTTTGCTGATTTTGCAAATTTGCTTAATTTATGATAGAACATTTTCTGAGCGTCTCAGCTGTTTTCGCTATCAGTCGCAGTGGCTGTCATAATTCTTTAGCCCCTGCACTTTGCGGCACTTTAAATAATTTAAGCAACAACAACAGAAACAACAGCGTGCCGTGAACCTTTATGTCTGGCTCCCATGAGCTATGATTAATGTTGCTTTAAAAAGCCGCCACTTGCGCCGCTTTTCAGCCCCAAACCCTCCGGACAAGCATCCCCCCGTTTGAGACACGCCTGCTGCACCATAAATTCCATTTTGGTGTATGTTTCTTTCTTTTTTATGTTGTTGTGTGGTTTGTTGTTGTTGGTTTGCTCATAAATGCAATTTATTATCAAGCGGGTTGTGCTATAATATTTTATATTAACAAATGCTTCGTAGCTGGTTAAATAATATTCGTAAATATATGAGCGCGTATGTTTCACACAACTGGCTAAGTTGGAGCATGTAGGCAATTATATATTGGGTTAATCTCTGCGGCTTACGCTTAAATTAACAATAAACAATAATTTAGCGGTTTACGCATTGTGATGAACTCGCTGAAAATAATTCAATATTACGCTTGAGTGTTGAAACGCAATCATCTATGAAATCTATTAACTTTAATAGAAATTCAATTACATATGAGTTCTATGGGGAAAACTATATATTTCTGGTTTACATTTTTATCAAGTATTGTCTTACTTATTTAACATACAATTTAATTAGCTCCTAAGTTTTCAAATAATATCAGCTAACTGAGAACTTAGTATGCCACCCGCCAAATGGCCCCAATTTCAAGAATTCAGTCGAAGCTCATTTGCTCATTAAACTCAATGGCTGCTGCACGTTTCTACCCACAAAGAAAAAAAAGACAATCTCATAGTCCACTCAGTCCATGAAAACGTTCGAACTGAACAATAGTTTTTAATGTGCTAAATTAAGTTTCGAATGCCTCTTATACAGAGCGCTTCCCACTTTCCCCCCTCAGAGAAAATTACCCGCACAATTTCTTGTCGAATTTGGGCGCCCGCGCCGCCTCCGTACTCCTTGCCCCTTGTTTGCCATATTGAATTTGAAGTTAGCCAAGGCATGCCTTTTGTTCTTGTTGTTGTTTGTGTCTGGGCGCTTAAACGTGACTACCGTTAATTTGGCCAGAACCTTATTTAATGCTCTGGCAAAAGCAACTGGAAAGAACTTCTTGCCAGAGTATACTTAGATTGTGTGGCAACGATAAGCGAAAGACGTAGCACAGCAGAAAAAAAAAAGAAAAAGTATCTTTATTTTGGGTTTGAAAACCGAAACGGAGAAGAAAATACAAAATAATACAGCGTGTCAAAGATTTATCGGCTTGAAAAAGTATTTCGAATTAAGCGAGCGCTTTGCTGCCGCTGCCTCTGCTGCTGATGATATCATTTCTCTCAGATTTGAGATTCACATACTTTTGGCCAAAATGTATCTACAGAATACATATACATACATATAGATACATACATAAAAGCGATTGATGCGACGTTATCAAGCCGGCATGGCCTTCAGCACCCGTTGCCTACTACCCGGCGATAATTCATTTTTGGTATTTCGATTCATGCTTTTTTTTTTGTCAAATCGAAAGCCCGTTAGCGCCCCGCTTTGCCCCGTTGATTGATATCGTTTCGTTAGTTTGCACTGGCCATAAGCATATCATTAAGTTGTACGCCCCAAGCCAAATGGTGCCACGGAGGTAGCCGCAACTAACCATTGGTTAGCTTTTTTTATGGCTTTATAATGAACAACCTAATGCTTGACATTTGTTGTCCGCCATCTGATACATGGCCGCTGATTTATCTGTCAATCCATATTCTATACCAGAGATAAGCTATAGAAGCTGTCGAAATTTCGCTATAAATTTGGCTAAATGTTGATTGGCGCCGTTTGCATAGGAATTGGGAATTTTTAAAGTTCGTTTCGCAGAATTTAAATAGAAATAGTTTGGTAAAACGATATGAGAATTACATTATTAAGAAAATATTAATGAGTATTTTGTTAATAAATTTGATATTTCAATATTATAAATAAAAAAAAAACTAAATAAAAGTTTTTTTAAATTGATAAATAAAACTAACTTTTCCATTTCTTTCACAAATTATATCAATAAAATATATTTTACGAGAAATTTATAATGCTTTATTTGCAATATTTCTGAAACATTTTCTGATTTGTTTTGAATACAAACTAAATATAGTTAGTAATAAATATTTTACAATATATTACAGCTCATAGATTCTAAATGTGCTTGACCTCTTTCCACTCATTATCACCTTCATCAGCTGATTACTCAAAGCCATTAGAAATGAAAGGAATACACATAAATTCAGGCGAACAGAATAAAATTCATGACAGCCTTTACTAATAACGCCAAACAAAAACTTTTATTTTAAAGAAAAATTTGAAAAAAAAAATGGAAAAATAAAAAAATTAAATTAAATTTTCGTCACGTTCTGTGCATGTAAATTATGGCCAAGCATATCAAATGTTGTTGTTGCTTTTGTTTGTTAGCTTTGTTCTTGTTGTTTATTCGTGTGTGCCCCATGTGGCGCGACTGGGAGCGGAAATAAAGCGTATAATTGTTCAACACGCATCTGTGAAGCTGTAAAACCTTCCAAGAACTTAGCTTTTATGGCTTGATATGAGTTATTTTTATGGCCAAAAGTGTGCCAAAAGCTGTTGAAAATCAAAAGGCAACTGTTACTGCAACTCTTCACTTTGCCAAGGGCTTAAAGTGTGGCAAAAAATCTGTCATAAATCAATCAAGTTGCGCAACCATAAATTGAAATTTACAAGATGAGCAGATGAGCGCGGCTGCAGATGATCATTGATGATGACACAATTGCTTAATAATACGAGCAGTATAAAATGTGCGCCTTCAGTTTTGGACTGAATTCGAGCCAAAAATTAAAGCTAACACGACTCCACGCGAAAGAGGAGCGTCAGCATCTGCCAAAGGTTTGCCACAGTTCTGTGTTGGCGTCGCATTATTGTGGGTGTCTGTGTGTGTGTGCTCGAAAGTGGCTGAAAAATGCATTGCGAGGGTTGTTTATTGAGTAGATAACCTTGACTAGATGATATATAATTAATCAAATTTAGATTAACATTTTTGCGGTTCTCCTCTCTTGAATTTTTTGGTATTTTCTAAATCTTATAGTTTTTAATAATTTATAAGGGATTAAGATTCAAAGAGATTCAAGCAATTTGTAAGTTTGGTTGCAGTCAATTAATTCTGAGTTAAAATATACTGAATGTATCTGTTTTGGGCTTTTATATAAAAAGCATCAATTAAAATAAATTAAGAAATTGATTCGTAAGAATAGATTTAAATGCAGCATCTGGGTCAGGGCTAGGAGGGCTTTTCCATTGCAAATAGTTTTATTATAGAAAATATATAAACAAATATTTCATTTTAAAAGCTAAACAATAGCAAAAATATATATACAAATATTTTGTAAGCAAGGAAAGTTTGATTTAAAACATAATTTACATGCGCCATATAATCAAACGACCCTCTCAGAATGACATTACGCCTGTGGGCAGCTTAGAATGAGATGTTAGATCTTGGCATCACGACTCTAGTCAAGAGCTTAGCCCATTTTTATTGCCTCAATAGCAGCTTCAATTCCAATTCCAACTCTTAACTCTGGGCCATTCAATGCGCTGAGATATTTGTATGCCAATCCAATTAAAAACCACTAAAAGTGCGCTATAAAAGGCTGGGGCCAGTCTGTCCAGACCCGACCCGGTAATTATGTAAGCGGCACAGACTGACTGCAATCAAAATAAATATAAAAGAAGGAAAATACCTGAAAAAAAAATACCAGACATTTACGTGCCAATTTTGGCGGCGTCTTGAATACATCATTGAGCCAGAGGCAAAAAACTCGCCCGCAGCATAAATAATAAAACTTCAACTTGTTCGCTGGCAAAAGCGCGTCAGCTTCCTGTACTCATTGGATTTACACAAACCAAAAAAAGCTGACATAAAATGCAATGAAAATGGGGGCATTAAGCCATTGGAATTATATAATATTTTATTTGGCGCGGGAAAATTATGAAAAATTTATTCACAGATGTGGCGAATGTGACTGAAATATAGTGAGAGAGAGGGGCACAGAGCGCTGCTGGCGAATAAACTGAGAGCTTTTCACAACATTAAAAATGTGGCATAAAAACCCCTTCGGTACATTTGCTTATCTGCTTATCATTGCGCATTATTTGCTCTTTATCAAAATTTAACGATAATGCTTAAGTATGTATCTAAAAGTTTGTTTATAGCTATGTCGCATAGTATCTCTGAGTGTGCACCGCACCTTGTTGTTAATTAAAAGTAAACTCATTCAAATGTTGTTTGCACTAAGATAGCAAATATCTTTAAATACCCATAACAAAAACTATATAAATATATACATTATATGTATTTACTACTACAAGAAAATAGTTGTGCAAGTTGATAAGAAACTTGTACAATGCTAGATATGAGATATCGGATGGGCTGATGAGGGAAAGCGGTTTGATATTCAATTTTTGTACAATTTTATATTTTTAAAATCTATCTGTAATTTAAGTATAATAATTATACTCAACAACTTTATTTTTGGATGAATATGTTGCTCGAGTTTAAACAAAAGCGGCATTTGAAATAATTGCATTAGCGACCCCAAAGTCAATGACTTTTGTACAAAAATGAAAAAGCTTTTGTAATTTAATTAGACATACATTTACACACAAACTACTTGGCTAAAATGGTTAAAAAATCAGTGAAAAGAACGCGGGGAAAACTCAGCTCAGCGAAGTGAAAATTACGCGACTAGCGCAGGAGTTTTGGGTGTAGGGGAAATGGCAACTC